AATCTGAATCTTATCTGGCGGAGTAACCAGAAAGCCTGGATTACAACATCAATATTTACAGACTTTCTTCGTTGGTTTGATAAGCAGATGAGTGGACGGAATGTTGTCCTTCTTATGGATAACTTCTCTGCTCATCAAGCTGCTGTAACAGAGATTCAATCTAGTGGTTATCCACTACAGAATACTCTTATTATATGGCTTCCTGCGAACTCTACCAGCCGATACCAGCCTCTTGATCAAGGGATTATCCACTGTTGGAAGTCATACTGGAAACGATACTGGATTCGCTTCATCCTTCAAGAGTTTGAGCTTAATCGTGATCCAATTGCGTCAATGAACATTCTACGAGCGGTTCGATGGGGAATCCAGAGCTGGGAATTTGATCTTTCTGGGCAGGTAATCCAGAATTGCTTTCAAAAGGCACTAGATTCTCAACCATCATATCGAGAGCCTGTCGATCCAGCAGTTCTGGATGATATACAGAATGCTTTCTCTCTTCTTAAGCTCTCTACGCCTATCCAGGACCTAATGGATATTGATACCTTTCTGAACCCTGCAGAGGAAGCTGTCCAGGATACTCCTGAAGATATTGAGAGCCAGATTCTAGCTCAGTATGGGCCAGAGCTTGATGATGATTCTGAGGAGGAGCTTGAAATTCTACCACAAATATCACTTGATCAGGCATTGGAAGCACTAAGAACACTTCGTTTATATGAGGAGCAGCAGGCAGAGGGCATTCCTAGCCTTATATATGAGCTAGATAAGCATGAGCGTATCCTTTGGGGTCGAAAGCTGAGCCTACAGACTCAGCGAGATATTCGAAGCTATTTTACAGGCTAAATTATATATATCCTTGATATAACGAGAACCTCGTTATAACGAGAAATTTGGAATGTCTGGAATATCTCGTTATAACGAGGTTTTACTGTACAGAAATAATCTGCGTGAGCACTAGAAGCAGGAGAAATACATCTGTCCAATTATGCCTATCCACCCTACGGAGTACGAGTCAGACTATCCACTCTACTACCTGCCATAGAGCAGAGTCCGCTAGATACTAGACTGGCGTGGAAGGGATCGGCATTTCTGGTCACGGCTCCCAAGTCTTAGCTACTGAGCCCCGATTCGATCAATTAGACAACAGTTGATCGCGCGCTCGAGGGTTAAATACTGTGTATTCTGCATCCACATGGAGCCAGAGAGAAGAGGGCCAGAACGGGGTATGCTGTGGACATTTGAATTTGAAATGACCATCTATTCTTTCCACAATCACAAGTGCCACAGGGCCCACAAAACCGAAGAGGCTAATGTAGCTAAGCCCCATGTATCCGTAGCGTCTCTACTTCCTTCGGAGGAAGCCGTCTGTGTAGGTACCACCATCACCTGTGTCCTGGTCACAGTCCCGGCGACTACGACAACGTTCGAGGATCTGGTAAACTCCATCAGCAAAACCGCCTAGAGATCAAAACGAGCAGATATACCCATGCAGAGCTGACGAGTTCCTCATCCCCATCGGGGCTTGCCTCAGTTCGTGCGACGTCTCTCGGGTAATGATCGTTGTGGTGATCGTCTTGTAGGCCATTGTCTCTGTTGGTCGCGCATCGTTGGCAACGGGCCCTGGAGGAGGTTGATACCCGACTGCACCTTGAGGAGCAGTTATCAGTGATCCGGGAAGGCTCCGTCCGAACAGTCGCGTCGATAAGCCGCGCGGGAGGAAGTCGAGAGTAAACGCCGTCACGCAGAGGCAGGTCAACAGAATGACGGCAAGGAAATTGCCTAGAAGACAGAGGGCAGATGGTAGGATCTTCATCCTGATACTGTCGTCGTGAAGATGGATCTGGCAACGTCTGGTGTTTTCAACGCGTCTTGAGACTGTGAGGATGACCTGGGGAGATCAACTCTCAGGCCAACCACGGGTGGGAGGACGAGATATGGGCTGGCTATTGTTTTGAGGTTTGCCATCCTCATGGCAGACATGCAGATGCACGTATGAGATATGAGCAGATCATTCTCGAGTCCTCGACTATGTCATTCGAATAACTTTCCTCAATCGACAAGAATGAAATGGATCCAAGTGCAAATGAGCGGACCCATCAGAGAAGGGGACATCTGGTGACGCCAAACAATCAAGGCCTCGTGCATTCGATTGACTCGATGCAATCCAACTCATGGAAGATGTGGTATGTGGAATGGAGATCGGAATGCGTTCGTGGCCTTCGGGCAGATAGTCGACAATCATCTAGTCCAGGTCCATTCACGACGTCTAATTACAATAGCGACCTCGCAAACGACATCATCACTACTGCAAGATTAAAAACTCGGTCTTCTAGACTCTGTCAGAGAGATCTGTAATGATGGATTAGCTGTATAGCCGACCACATCGGTTTTGCTTCAAGCCAGCATTCTTCGGTGACACAAGCACGTTTTTGGCCGAAACAGCCAGCATATCGCAGCAAAAAGCATGAGACTGAGAATCTATAGCTGCTCTTATTTTCTACGAGCTTATCTGAGAGTAATCTCTGCCATTCTTGATGGAGGTCCAAGGTCATTCGCCACGATGACCAGAGTCGTATGGTCGTCATTCAACCAGAAATCTAGCATTTTCAAAGTCTTTCTGACCTTGGAGAAAGGGACTCAGAAAACACTCTAGTAAAACCCAACAGCGCAACTATCTCTTCTGTTTCAGTGAGAGAGCACTTGGAGTGTTAGTTTGGTTGTAGAAGTAGAGGTAGTTCTGCCCAATGCGGTATTGTAATTACACTGCCGGGGAAACGCCAAAAGACGCGAGATTCGCGTGGTACAGCGGCCTCCAGTCAACCGAACAATGACGAAGCTCGGCTTTCAACTTCTCCAATTACACGCTCTTTGGGCCATAGCGGAAAGACTCATCTTATTTTCCATTTCCCAAAGGGAGCACCTTGGAAGATAAGAGATTTCCTCACACAATGGCTACAAACACAGCGGAGGACGTGTTTTTGCAACCCCCGAGGTCTGCTCTTCTCGATGCTCAGAAACCTCAGATGGATAAGATGATGCTAACAGTCGCTCGATACAGTGACGAACAGTTCTCGCCTGTGTATCGCGAAATCTCCCACTATAACCCGCTTCATACCTTCAAGCTCCCCTCCGGCGATGCAAGACATTACCAACAACAATATGGCGACATGTACTTCTTGCGACTGGCACGACTGAAACCTGTGGTCGAAGAGGTTGGAATGGACGCATGGGAAGGATTTAGTGTAAGACGGTAGCTTGGCCCTTGGTCGTCATTTTCTAACCTTGTCAATGGGTGATAGATCGCCGGAGAACGCGCTCGTCGTGTAGAGCGAGTGCTCGATGTCCGACAAGGCGAGCTTTGCTGGGTCGGTGGGACGGTCTACATGGACATGCCCTTGAAGCCGAATATCCTGGATGATCTTTCCAGAGAGGTCCGAACGTCCCATCCGTTTCTCCAGGCATCGCTGACACCTCCTAGAGTCACACCCTAGCCCCTCCTCCCCGTCGCACCTACCAAGATCCCGCTCATCCGGAATTGACTCAAATCATGTTGGAAGACGAGTCAGGCCGCCTGCGCTTAACAGGGAATCTTCTGAGGTCAACTCAACTCGCGACAGGAGCCATCATAGCGGTACTGGGGACGGAAAATGCGAATGGTGATTTTGAAACGATCGATATCAGAGTGCCTGACCTGCCTCCGCAGCCGCGTCGGTGGGAGCGGGATGAAGACAGAACAGACACAAAAGAGTCGCGCAAGGGCAAGATTGCTTTTGTGAGTGGTCTTGGGATTACGGGCACATCGAGTGATACTCTTGCGCTGGAACTTCTGACAGACTATCTTCTGGGGTATACAGGGTCGGATGCGTCCTCAATCACACGGCTTATCATTGCCGGAAACTCACTGGGGGCTAATGTGACGGCTGAGGCAGCAGCTACAGGCCCGGAGACGGGAGCGGCCGCGAAGAAGAAGATGGCCCCGAGAAAGTATGGATATGACGCCTCTGCATACAACGCCTCGCCCATCACACAACTAGACAACTTCCTCGCGGAGATTCTGCCCAGCATACCTGTGACACTCATGCCGGGCGAAAGTGATCCGGCGAACTTTGCACTCCCTCAGCAAGGGATCCACCGAGCGATGTTTCCACGAGCCAGAGCATACTGTGCTCCGCCTCCGTCGGGGGAGGAAACTCCCGAGCCGGGCTGGTTCGACAGTGTCACAAATCCTTGGGAAGGGGATGTCGAGGGATGGCGGCTGTGGGGAAGCAGTGGACAGAACGTGGATGATGTCCTGCGGTATCTGGACTTTGCGGACCGTGATGCCCTAGACGCCGGTGATGGGGACATCGAGGCCAGGATGAGGATCATGGAGGCCATGCTACGGTGGAGGTGTGGAGTTCCCACCGCCCCTGATACAATATGTACGTTTCTCTGCTACATATCTCGATCGAGTACTGACTATCTGCAGGGTCCTATCCTTTCCAGACAAACGATCCCTTTGTAATGCAGTCCTGTCCGCACATCTTCTTCGCTGGCAATCAGCCACGGTTCAAGACGGCCGTGCTGGAAGGCGACTCTCCCCTTAGGCTTAAAGGAGCCGACACAAAGATGACCGACGCGGCCGAAAATGCCGGTGCGCGTGTGCGTCTGTTGTCGATCCCCAAGTTCAAGGAGACGGGGGAGTTGATTCTCGTGAATAGCGAGACATTGGAGGTGGAGCTGGTCAAATTCGGTGCTTTTGCAGGAAAGCAAGAAAAGCAATAATACACTAATAGACACGATGAGCAGTTGCTCATTGACGTGTGCACTGCCAAATTCCACGGTGACTGTTCTCCGTACGGAGTACTCCGTAGTTATGTAGGCTATATCAACGGCGCCAAGACCGGGCAAAAGTCATATTTTCCTCTTCCACGAGTCCATCTACCATACCGATCAAATCATAGACAAAAAGCTGCAGGCAGCAATAGACATAGACTCTACACTTAATCCAAAGCATAATAGAAATGCGCCTCAACGCAAAAACTGGTACGCCCACCCACCTTTAAAATTAACCGCTACAAAGTTCAAAAACCCAAAACACTAACAAAGACATAGCCATCTCCACCGCAAAGGTACTTCTAGTCCCATACTCCAGCTGGCACGTCCCACGTTACCACGAATGGATGAAAGATGAGGTAGACACCTAACCCACTCCAGCTTGATTGATAGATGCAATGCTAAATGAAGACAGGAAATCCAAGCCGCCACGGCATCAGAACCACTTACCCTGGAAGAGGAGTACGCGATGCAGCGCAGCTGGCGCCAGGATGCCGATAAGTTGACTTTTATTATTTGTTTGCCTGTTCTTCGGTCTCTGTCTCAGCATGCAGCTGAAGGTCAAGGGAGGCAAGAGTCAGGGTTACGGCTGCAACTGCAGGACGGAGATGATGGACCTGAGCAGATGCTCGGCGACATTAACCTCTTCCTCCGGGTTGAGGATGACGACGAGGACGAAAACGAAAACAGGTCGTCATGTCCAGAAATCATCGGGGAGATCGAGCTGATGATTGCCGAGAAGGCGAATCAGCGAAAGGGCTATGGGCGGGCTGCGTTACTTGCGTTTCTGCGGTATGTGCTTGAGCATGAGGAAGACATAGTGGGGGAGTTTGTGCAAGGCACTGGTGCTGGCGCTACATTACAAGGCAGGACGGACTGGAAGTTTGGCGCGCTGAGTGTCAAGATTGGAAAGGAGAATGGGCGCAGTCTGGCGCTGTTTGGGAGTGTTGGGTTCCGCAAGGTGAGCGAGGAGCCGAGTTATTTTGGGGAGTTTGAGTTGAGGAGGGTACGGAGGGAGCTGTCGCTAGAGAGTGTTGATGAGGCGATGGCGAGGGCTGGTGTTGAGGGATATACTGAGGTTTCTTACGAGAGGACTGAATGATACCATGGCATTACTGAAGCTGTTGAATCGTTGATTGAAGCGTTGATTTCCGTTCTAGTGCTGTCTCACCACTCGGTCAACTACACTTCCATGTAGTATCTGACCATCATCCCTGAATTGCATCCTGTACATCTAACCAATTGATATCCAAATAGATACTCTATTGACTCAGTGACCCCATTCAAAATATAAATAGTATTCTTACCCTCGGAGACAGGTACCTACGTCATTGGATTAGGGCTTCCAAATATGGATTAGCGCACTACCCCTCCGGTGTAAAAAGTATCACCATTGGACTCAGACAGTCAACAGTCAGGCAGGAGAAAAGGAAAAAAGAAGAGAAAAATGCCCATCCCGATAACAATCATAACGGGCTTCCTCGGCTCCGGCAAAACCACCCTCCTGCTCAATCTCATCCCCCAACTCCCCCCAACCTACCGGCTCGCACTCCTCAAAAACGAATTCGGCGACGTAGCCATCGACTCGCAGCTCGCCTCGACACAGTCTATCTCCGGCGTGCGCGAGCTACTGAACGGATGCATCTGCTGCAATTTAGTTGGCCAGCTCAGCGACGCGCTGAACCAGCTGCGCGAGGAGGTCCAGCCGGACCGCATCGTCATTGAGACGAGCGGGAGCGCGTTCCCCGCGACGCTGGCGATGGAGGTGAACCGGCTTGCGCGCGAGCAGCCGGGCAGCTTTGTGCTGGACGGGGTGATCAGCGTGATTGACGTCGAGAATTGGGAGGGGTACGAGGATACGTCGTATACGGCGAAGCTGCAGGCCAAGTATACGGATCTGATCATTTTCAATAAGTGGGAGGGGGTACCGGAAGAGCGGTTTGAGTTGTGCTTGGATCGAGTGGGTGATCTCGAGGTGCAGACACCGTGGGTCAAGTCGGATAAGGGCCGGGTGGATAAGGAGGTTCTGTTGGGGATTGATGGGGCGTTGTTCGCCAAGGAGGATGCTGAGGATGCGTTGCGCTTGACGGATGACCATCACCAGCATCGGCATGACCACCAGTCTGAAGTCGAAGTGCTGTCCGTCACGCTCAAGGCCTCCCGGCCCGACCAGACCATCGATGTTGCTGCCCTCGAGATGATGCTGCTCGCTGCGCCCAAGGACGAAGTCTACCGGATCAAGGGGACCATGCGCTGTCCTGCGTCGCAACTCCCTGCCGACTCCGGGGACAACCCCGGCGAGAAGAAACCCGCGCCGCCTCCGACATCCGGCAATGCAGCTGTCCGACACTACATCCTCAACTGGGCCTTTGGTCGCTGGACCTTTACGCCCTCCGAGATGGTGGCGGAGAGTGCGGACCCCGTTGTCGTTGCCCGTCTAACGCTTATCCTGGCTCGGTATGAGTCGGGCAAGTGGAAGAAGAAGCTGGAAGCTGGTGGGTTGATCCAGCTTGGTGAAGGTGCCGAGGGCGAGTTAGTGGTCGAACGCCTGGTATAGATCAGGTTTTCTTCTTTCTGTACATGAACTGCAGTGGAGCTGGCTCCTTATGATGGTGGTCAAGAGACGATGCGGACACGAATGTAGATCAAAAGATAGATATTTCATAGATATACAGATGACCCCATTTTCTGCATCAAAATGCACTCTATAGCGTCCAGGATTACGAAGAGAACCAAAGAATGACCAAAGTAGCTCAGAAGATCGATTAGACAATGTGACAAAGTCTAGTCTATCAAGCAACAAAGCAAATCAAACTTTATGGGATCCCCGTCCTCCACATTATCTATCCCACAACAAACATAAATACAGACAGCAAATGAATACAGTCAAAACTTAAGCAAATACAAGAATTTCTCTAATACTCCAGGAGAGCAGTCGCACCGGCTTCGCTCGAGATGTAAATCACCTCGTGGTTGTCCGAGAAGCCGTTGAACCGGGTGGCGCTGCACTTGGTGTAAGCGCCCATCTCCTCAAAGTACAGCCAGTCGCCGACGTCCAACAGACCAGGCAGCACAATGCGCTGGGTGATGACGTCGATACCATCACAGGTCGGACCCCAGATGGAATAGGCGATGCCCTCTGAAGTCGCAGCATTCAGAGCGGACGGCTGGGTCTCGCCGGAGCAGGTCAAGATCTTGGCCACGGGATGCTGGTGGTCGAAGATGATGTTGGAGAAATTGCCGTACACGCCATCGTTCAGGTACAGCATGTAGGCATCGTTGGCCGGGTCCTCGGGGTCACGCACGTCGCGGCGAGCAATGACATTGGCGGCCAGGGTGAAGGCGCTGGCGACGTAGTAGCGGCCCGGCTCGGCAATGACACGAATGTGAGGCGGGAAATACGTGTCAAGCGCCTCACTCAGGATGCCGGCAAATTTTTCAAAAGTGTCCTGGCAGAACCCACCCCCGACATCCAGGGTGTGGAGCTCGTGGCCCACCTCCGCAGCCTGGTCAAAGACCAGACGAGCATCCTGCACGGCCTTCAGGAACGCGCGGGGATCCTCGGCACCGGAGCCCACGTGGAAGCTCACCCCAACGACCTTGAGCTCGAGCTCGTGAGCCAGTTCAAGCAGCTGACGGGCGATGTCCAGGGAGGCACCGAATTTCATGCTCAGCCGGCACAGACTGGTGGAGTCATCGGTCAGGATCCGCAGGTAGAGCTCCGCGTCCGGGTAGCAGGCCTTGATCTTGTAGAGCTCGTCGGCATTATCAAAGGTCATTTGCTTGACGCCCACCTTCGCGGCATAGCGCAGATAGGACTTGGTCTTGCAGGGCTGCGCGTAGATGATGCGGCTAGGATCGATGCCGGTCTCGAGGGCCAGGTCGATTTCCGCCTTGGAAGCACAGTCGAAACCGTTTCCAAGCTTAGCCATGAGACGAAGGATCTCCGGGTCGGGGTTGCACTTGACCGCTGGATGTCGTTAGCTCTTTTGGTCTGAAGATCCAATGGTCGGAAAAACCTACCGTAAAAAGGCTTGACGCGACCCAAGTTCATTTTCCAGCGAAGATGCTGTCGGTAGATCTCCCCCATGTCGGCCACATAAAAGGCATCTTCTTCACCGGGACCGCACCGGTCCACATCCACCTCGGCGGCGCGTTTCCTCAGGACGTCCAAGACCAGGTTCTTGGCAGCCAACCTAGATTGCGAAAGGTCGTCCCCTCCATGATTGCTGAGTTGACTATGGTGATGAAAATTATAGTCGTTTTTGTCGTGACAATGTTTGGTCATGCATACTTCAGCAGGTACACAAGCAGTCGGTGCCATAACCATGCGCGCTGCGACGAAGCACGGAACAGGTCTTGAAAAGTGGTTTGAAAGAGATAAATAAGTTTATGAGACAAGTGTCAAGAACGCGACTGCGTGTTAAGGAGGACGAAAAGATTCGCAACCGAGGTTGACTGGACCAAGCCTCCTAGACCCTTCCTCCTTAAGAGGAAGAACCTTCAGAGAAGTCCTATGCGGCAGCTCAAAGAGTGCGGGAATAAGTTGGAGGGGCGTCAAAGGGTGGTTAAAAAATGGCGCACCGGAGGAAACCGAGGGAGGGGTCAGCAGCAGGAGGTGGTGGAATGTTGTTAAGAGTGTCGCGGAGCCGTCGAGGCGAGACAATTTGACGAAAGGGCAAGGGAGAGGCTGCGAAAGCCGTGATGAGCTGGTGCCTTTGGAACTAAGGAGTTTCCAAAGGCGTAGAGACGCGGTCTTAAAATTGGGTAGTAAACTTTGTCACTCGGTGGACAAAGTAAGAGAACTATTTTTTTTTTTGTTTTATTATCCCACAAATGAGATAAATCTGACAGAGAGGAGAGCAGCGGTCAGTACCCTTGCAGAAGAGGTGAGAAACGACCGTAGGACGGAGGGGAGGGAAAGGTGAGAGATTTTATGGGCGAACAACGAGGCGCGTGCGGTCTTTTTTTTTTTTTTTTTTGGCTCGTTCGGCGACGGTGGAGGATGTGGTGTTTTAGGGCAAAGGGCACACGCCAGCGAAAGTGGGGGAAGTCGATATGGAATGCCAATATAGGCAGAGACCAAATCAAGGAAATGAAGGAGCAGGGGATCAGACGAAATGCAACTTACCTCGAATGGCAATGGATGGGGAGAGTGAGAAAGAGGGAGAGGGAAAAAAGAGAGGAAGAAGAAAGAAACGAGGGAACGAGGAAAAGTTGGTGATGGAGGAGAAAGCACCGACTGTGGGGATGGAACCGCTCTGACACTGCACAGATAGTGTACGCTATTTCCGGTGCCCCTCTATGACGAAGCTGAGGGATTTCCCTTTACCTACAACAGTAGTACTATGTTAAAGGTGTAATTAATATCCGTCATTCGATTCGTCCTCCCCCAATTGACTCATCTTTGCTCTTGTCAACCCAAAATTGCAGCCTGATTCTCTTCTCTTCCCGCTCCTAAACTCCTCCTGATCTGATCTGATCTACAGGGGGCATCACAGTATTATTACTGTATGATTCTGCAGCCTGCATTGCATGTGCATATGCATCATCATACCCCTCAGAATCATCATCATCATCATCATCATCAGCTGTCCTCATTCTATCCAGTCCTCTCTGGATTGGATGTTATATTTAGCTCAATAGCTTGATAGTGATTCATACCCGAACTACCAAGTATTAAGCTATCTCCCTCTCAACGACTCTGCGCATATATATCAATGTATTATACATACACCTTACACTATTGATGTTTTGTGCTTATATCTCTACAGCTATTAGCTAGAGAATGTCAACAGTCTACGTCATCACCATTTACAGAAGCAATGTTATTGATTCCCGACCGACTGTGAAGGCAGAAGAGAGGTTCCAAAAGCTAGCACCGGACTACTTTACTTAGATACATACACATCGGCCTTCTCCAGCCTGAGGCATCTCATCGATCCCGGTCTCAGCTTTGCCTGCTTTCGGGTAGGTTTGTGAGGGCCCATGAGTATAGCATCACATTCGCATCCATCTCGCTGAACGGTAAGGCTAATTGAAATTATGTAGATCACGCAAATAGAAGTACTCTTATTATCAACATCATACAGAAATAAATATGCACAATATCTGGCAAAGGTAACCCAGTAAACCCGTACGAAGACAATGCCTTGAATCAAAGAGTAAGCTGCGCCAGGCATACTGAATCCTCAATAATGGGGTATATAACTCTTAATGAAAGAGAAGGAAATAGGAGCCGGTGGCAGATAGCCCACGACTCAAAGTATTACAAGTATGTAGAAAGACTGAAAAGAGAAGAACCAAATGTCCGCATCACAACCACAGAACCCACCGGATGCCCGAAATTGCTCCTCGGAAGATATAGCGAAGGACCTTGAAGGCCATGACAATCAACCACACCCACCACAGCATCCCAACAAGCGCCCATTCAAGCATGACAAAGCCTGTACGGCGGAGCCAGCGCAATCGCCGATGGCGCTTCCGGATGCCCTTGTCGAGTTTGTCGCTCAACTGCTTCACGGCAAGTGTGCTTGTCGTGTTGAGTTCGACGCTGAGATTTTCGGCGTCATCTGCCAGGGCTCGAACGCGCGGGGCAAGAGTCTGGTTGACCATGTCTTCCAGCTGCGCCAACCGCGTTCTCAAAGCGCCCGAGACTTTAGGGAAACCCTCCACAGTTCGCCGAAACGAGTCATGAGATGTCTCTAATCGCCGGAGCAGTCCCTTAGCCGCCACATCGAATTCATAGAGGCGGATGACCTGGGGCACAGGGGAGTCGGGATAGGCTTTCTGTAGAAAGTCTGGCGGCGGACTGCGTATCGATTCGGCCCGGCGAGTGATTTCCCGTGCTTTGATACCCGATGCTAGAAGAAGCGCCCTTGTACGCTCGATTTCCCTTCGATCCGGGATCCCGGAGTCCACCGAAGTCGAAATGCTGCGGTTGGAGATGCTCCATGTCCTTGACTGACCTGACGCACCACAACGCCTGTCTTGAGGACGATCTGCAGCCGAGACCTCTGCTTGCGCAAGCCCCGTAACCGGGGGACGGATCATGCTGAAAGGAACCGATGGATCTTTAATTTGCCTTTTCTCGATCTGGTTCCGGATCGCGTGGAACTCGGGCTCAAATCTTCGGCCATCACCGATTTTCTCCGCCAGAATGTGTGCATTTTTTTGTAGCATTGAAGCGCCGAGCTTCTTCGTCTGCGACACTTGTGCATCATGCAGTGGAGCATCCGGACCCTGCTTTATAGGACTATCCAGGGCCGAAGCTCTACGCTGTTCTTCTTGCTCGGTCCGTCGAGATGGAGTCGCCAAAGCCGCAGTTGACTGCAAAAGACTCTTCGCGCTGCCACGCTCGGGATGCTTGCGAGGAGTTCCATCTGAGAATGTCGGAAGTCGGCGTAGAAGGGCCTTGGGCCCGGATCTCTTTTCACCCTTCGCTTCCTCGCCCTCGTCTAATGCACTATCCTCAGAGGGAAGAGCTGTCTCCAATGACGAAGTCCTTGAATGAGCTGGATCGTCCTTCTTCATTATCAGGTCGCCCATTTTTGAGACCTCGTTGCCTACGATCTCTGCAATTTTCCCTGGCCCTTTAAAGATTCCGCGCAGCCGCGATTCAGGTTGGAATGATCCCTTGCGGGCATGCGTGTGGGTCCGTGTCTTGTCAGCTTGGTACAATGGAGACACATGATCGGGAATTGGGCTTGGTTCGAGTTTGCCAGCTCGATGTGCGGCATCAGACATATTTTGTTGTAGATTATCGGCAGTATCCGTCGCAGAGATCAACTTGTCCTCAAGGATCTCCCGGGGGCGTGAGCGGCTTTTGCTTCGCGCATGGCGAGCAATAATTCCGTGAGCAACTTGTCGTTTGGATGGCGACGGTGAGCGACTTGAAGGAGGAGACAAGTTGGACGCAATGCTAGGGAAGTATCCAAGGGAAACAGGCGGAGTGCCAGTAGAAAAAGGATCCTGACGACTTGCGGCGGATGACAACGAGCCGCTTCGCTCGTCCAATTTGGCCCACATTGGTTGAGTATTCGAAGTCTGAGACGGCAGCGGTCCTGTATTGAGGCCATGTTCTTCGTCTGGGGCAGTGGTAGAGGAGTTTACTCGCGAGCTCTGAGCTCGAGTAAGTTTTGATGCGGCAGATCCACCTATATTGTCCGCATGACGATACCACGAGTGTCTTTCACCAGTGGTGGAGACACTCGAAGAGCTACTTGACCGTAATCCCAGTTTGCGCTCCTTGGTGCCTATGCCGGTAAGTGAAGTACCTCTGCTGTGGAAACCATGTGCAGCACTATGATATCTGTGCCGTCGCCTTCCACGATTGACGCTTCTGAATTCAGCTCCCAATGCAGGATGCGCATTGGAGAGAGACGTATCAGAATCCGCGTGTCGTGCGCCCGCAGACGGCGGCTTGGTTTGCATATGCGCCTGGGCAGATGTAGGTGGCATGTCACCAGAAGGATGCAACTGTGCTGGGTCCGGAAACAAAAGATTCCCGTCTTTGTCCACCATTTTGCTCTTGTTCTGGCCCTCTTCAACCCATGCAGCATCAGCCAGAAGCTCAGCCGGAGAGATTGTCCAGTCAAACCTTGGCCTGCGAGCCGCTTTGATGCTGCTAGTGCGGCTGACTCGCCTTAAGCTGGAAGGAGGAGACGCTGCAAACAGATCTGGGTCATCGGGTTCTTCTCGTGGCGGATCCTTCTGGCCTCGTTCAAATGGCGGCAGCTTTAGACATTCAGAAGGCAGGTGACTTCTGTCGCCATACTGAAACTGAACCGAGTTCACCCATTCACGCACCCTTGCAACGTCATACCAACCTTCCGATTCTAGATCAATCGGACGTCTCTCACGGAACCGGACTTTCCGATTCCGAATCGCCTGGAGAGGATTGTAGTCTCGCGCCTGAGGAAGGCTACCCTTTGACGCTAATGAGGCGTCTGTGGCATCTTGCGTCCCATGATGTCTCAGTGGCGGGAGCGAAGGGAGTAGACGCAAATAGAGATGAAATAGCTCAAAATGACGCCTGGCTTTATCGGCCCGAGCAAGCGTACTTGTTGAGAATGCCTGGGGCAAGGTCTCTCCTCCAGCAGCATTAGGTAGCAAATCCAGTACGGATGATGGATTCACGGCTGATTCACCAGGCGGTGGTGTGGCCCGGTCACTGATCCCCGGTTGAGTATAATCGCGACGCGTATGAAGAGCTGGATATCCACGACCGGCGCTCGTAGTCAACGTTGCACTATCAGTATAGGGAACCGACGCCCCAGCCCCTGGGAGGCGAGCCGAGACGGATCGACCGAGGTTATTTCTCCTCCGGGACTCACTCAAGTTCAGAGCCAGATTAACAATCTGGAGTGAATCCCTATCCAAACCTGGGGCAGCCTCATTATTGTCCGTCCTAGTTGGCGGCGGCTCCGACGGTGGAGGTTGCTGTGCGGACGATGGACCAGACGTTTCCGTTCCTGCAGCCTCCTGGGGACCAGCAATCACCGATGACCCTTCCAGCGACTCTCTATTACGACTCCAGGGAAACCGTGACCTCTTCTTCGGTGTTGCAATATCGCTCTCGGGAGCGCCACGCTTCTCGTTGCGATGCGATTCCGAACGCCGCGGCCGATGAGAGCTGGTCCGTATGCTCTTTGACTTGGATAGAAACGATGAATCGACGAGAAATGAGCTCGAACTCGCTGTCCTTCGTTGACTGCGTCTGGCCCTGTCTCCATCGCGCGAGCTGCTGCCGAGCGTGCTGCCCTCCAGCTCGCCGCTTGCTCGTCCCTCGGTCATTCGTGTGGAAATCCGCCGATACGAATCGCCATTAGATCCGAGTTAGGCAGCAGGTTTCGATGCCAAGTTATCACTATGTGTCAAAAATAGATATAAACACTGAAAGCAGCGATTCAACGGAATCACCGGACTGTTCAACATCAATGAGAGAGCGTCCGGGTCACTCCCGCGGAGTGAGTAAGGAGGTGTATGTTACGTGGTGGAGAAGTCATGGAATTATTGAGAGAAGATACCGCAAACGCCGACTTCAATCTTTGCTCAACTCAAGAACATAGCGGCAAGATAGAATAAAGTGGCATATTCCGCCACAACTTTCAGATGCAAGACATTCGGGTTGACATTCAGTCGATCAGCCATGCGAGTCAACGGCTTGGAACTGCACGTGGATATCCAAACAGAACAAACATTATATATAGCTATATCCACGTTTCATAAAGACGACATCAACGAAGGGAACCCTATAAGCACGGGTCGAAAATCTAGACAAACGGAATATCTAGATTGATTCTAAGAACGTAGAAGTGCCACTAAAGGTACAAGTCTTCCATAGACTACAGGAACATATACGCGAAACAGAAAGGGATCGCTACTCTTTTATCTATTCAACCCTCAAGCATTGGAGGCGTGCCTCTGTCTCGATAACCTGCAAAATACATATGTCAGCCCATCTGTATAAATGAAACAATGAAGTGAAAGGTCATAATCTTACCTCCAGGGCCTGTTTTACCTCCAACACCCGACGCACGTCACTCAACCAGTCCTTGCTCAGAATCTTGGCCCATCCCTTGAGGGTGTTCATCTCACGAGCAGCGTCATCGAGGTTACCTTCCTCTAACAAATGCTCGGTACGAAGGAGGACACTTTCGACGTCGTCGCTGCCCGCGACGGCGTCTTTCTTGAACATGACCTTGCTCAGGACAAGACTGGCCGCGTGACTGGCGATGCCAGCATCTTCGGGCAGAAGGCTTGCCTTGCGCACTTCATCGGCCACCCGACGGAAGCGCTCAATGATCTGAGACGTCGAAGGAATACCACGCTGATAAGCAGTTGGGTTGATCGATGCAATAGCAGCCTCAACGACCGGGTCACCGGCAGCCAGCTCTTTCACAGCAACAAGTTCACGGACAAAAGGCCGGGGGACGGTAGAGCGCTCAAGGACGGAGCGGACGGCATCCACAGCAACCTGGAGCTGCTGGGTCTTGAGGTTGGTATCGATCACTTCCTTCCAGTCGGTAGTAAGCTTCTCGAGCAGGTTGACATTGGCGGTCAACTCGTTCAACTTGCTTAGACGACCTTCACGTTCCCGCTCAACCAGATCCTTCACCTCGTGAAGGTACTTGCGGTTAAGCTCGATGGCCTGCTCAACCAGCTCATTCTTGAGGCGCTGCTCAGCCACTTCTTGAGCCCTCTGCAGCTCCGTGTTGACCTTCTCCTGGTAAGCACGGGCGAGTCTCTCGCGCTCGACCTCAAACTCCTCCCGATACTGAGCAGCGTCATGAGCACGTGCCTCCTCAAAGCGACGAATCAGCTCTCGTGCAGACTCATCAAAAGTCGCATGGGCTTGCTTGATCTCCTCCTGGGCAGCATTTCGCGCTTCATTGCGGATGGCGATGATCTTCTCGCCAATAGTTCGGAGCTCCTCCTTTGCCTTGTTGACAGCACCAGAGAACTTGTGCGCGTTCTCATCAGCGCCGATGACAGTGATAATGTCGTTGAAAGTCTTGACCAGTTCCTGCACGACCTCTTCATCGCCCTCACTGACAGTTGCGAATTCAATGGGCGTCACTGCTGGAGCCGCGGGTTTCTTGGGTTCCTCCTGCACCTTTTTCTTATCATCAGAGCTCTGTTCCTTGGCAGCAGACTCGGCCTTGGCCTTCTCGACAGCGGCGACCTTCTCCTCAGGCTTCGCTGCGCCGGGCTTGAGTTGCGCTTTCTCGCCATTATCGAGTGCGCTCATATGAGGGCCCTTCTGTGACACATCAGCTCCAGATTCCTCGTCTGCAACCTTCCAGGAAAGCCCGCTCTTGCTCGGAATCGTGACCGTGTGGCCCTCATCCTTGGGGGCGCGGTTCTGGTTTCTCAATGTGTTGGGGAAGCGGCGGTAGAAGTCACGTTCCTCAAAGTACAAAACACAGTCCTCGCCATAAGGAACGTATTCCGTGAAGAAGTCGTGGAAGTTGTCAGACTTGAGCGCCAAAAAGATACCGCCACCGTAGGCGAATCCAGATGTCAGAATCAAGTAGAGAAGGAATTTTCGAAATCGCCCGGTCTTACGGGCAGGAGCAGGGGGAGGCGGGGGAGGGGGAGGAGCCTCAGCAGCTGCACTAATTAGCCCTTGGAACTATCAATGACCTCAATGGATAACGGGAGTCGAACCTGGTGATGGCTTGGGGACGCTCTCTGGAGGAATAGGTGATTCGGAAGAAGGGGAGGCGGGAGTAGGTGCACCGGTGACGGGAGGTTTGGCATCAGCAAAGAATCTCTGTATAAGATGCCATTGATATTAGCACGTATTCCCGAACACATCAAGGAGGGTAGGTTGTCGTCATACCTGGCCAGCAAGGCGGTTGCTTGCTCCAGCTTTCGGCAGCCATTGCGCAGCTGTCCGTGAGCGAGCTGGAGACAGGAGCAACTGTCGGCTCTGTGTGAAAGAAGAGCGCAGCATGGCGGCCGCACAACAGAGGAGGAAGACGCTGAAGGCGGATTGAGAAGAGGGGGTTGATGTTGGCAAGAGGGAAAACGCGGACCGGAATTGAGATGATGCTTTTACGATCCGCTCCGACAGCCCTGCACAGCCATAACCAAGTGGCTTGGTTTTGGAGAGTCGCACCGCCCAAATTCTGCCACCAACTACATAGTTACTCCGTGCTACGAATCATGGGCGAAGAATGATGCAACCATTTTGCGTTATGAACTGAGTAACTACATCTGGTAACAATAATTTCTTTGTTTCTTAGTACAGCTCCGTTGGAAATGTGCCTTCTTATGGAGCATTGAATGGCTACAAGCTGCGCGTTTTGTCTTTCGACGTTAATGCGAAATCAAGCACACTGTGATCAACTCAAGTGTCAATCTTCGAACAAGGTGTTGAAATGCGAATTATATAAGCATAGCATACTAATATAACCTGGATTGAATAAAGACAAGCGAAGAGTGACAAGTGCAGAACCAAACTCAGCCCATCAGAGAATGCAGACGCCGGATTCAAACCAGAAACAGCTAAAGACAAGATAAGGTGACGTAGCGGAGGTACAGCCCTATCGCAAAGCATCTAGAGAGCCAAATCCAAATTGACCCTGCCGCGAAGTGCGGATTCCGCAGCCAAGGATGGCGGATGATTCGCTGGGATCGAGAAGACAGAGGCAGGAGCGCAAAGTATTGTTCATTCCATCTGAAGCTATTTCTCAGTCACTGAAACACCATTAAAAAATATTGCGAAGCAAGGCCGGCATCACTTGGTCAAACTTAAGACAGGAAGATGCGGACCTCTCATATCTAGGCACAAGAAGTTGAAGCGGGAAAATAATCTGGATCTCGGTAGGGGAATTTGAGGAGGATGGCAGAGATTTCGGCAATTAACAGTTGCAAGCTCCGGCACCCTGCGTGCCAGGTGCTTCCGGTCGCAAGTCCACACCGGGACGAGGAGTGGTGCGCAGATTGCGCGGGCCCGCCTGATCGAGAGGGAGTTTCTTGGCGATTGCGGCGAATAGTTCCTTCACATTTGTCGAAGTCTTCGCAGATGTTTCGAAGAAAAGGAGTCCGGCTTCACGCGCATAGGCTTCAGCATCAGCAGTCGGAATGGCTCTCTTGTCGGGATGTTCTGTAACTAGATCCAGCTTATTGCCAGCGAGGGCAATAACAATATTCTCATTCGCCTGTCGCTGCAGCTCCTTCACCCATGACTTTGCCTTGTCCAGCGACGACTGTTTGCCAATTGCCCGAGTTAGTTTTCAAAGTAGCCTGATAGTAGAGAAGGTGATCGGGGCGCGTACAGCCTGAGTGATATCGTAGACAACAACAGCACAGTTCGCATTCCTGTAGTACATTGGAGCCAAGGACTTGTATCGTTCCTGACCAGCGGTATCCCATATCTCGAACTTGACCGTTGTGCTTTCGTCCAGCGAAATGGTCTGTGTCAGGAAGGCAGCGCCGATCGTCGACTCTCGGTAGTCATCAAATTGATCCTATGATATCCGTTAGATCTAGGCTGTCCCCATGAGCCAACAGGCACCAGGATAAGAAGGACAAAGCTCACTTTGACAAATCTTAGCACTAACGAACTCTGGAGGATAAGATGTCAGCGACCGAAAGAACACCAATAGAGACTATAAAGAGCTCTAACCTTTCCAACAGCAGATTCACCTACAAATCAAACAGACGTCAGTAATGTAACTCAAAACAAATGCAGCGAGAGAGAACGAAAGGGCAAGCTAACCAAGCAAGACAAGCTTGAACTGGGCGAATCTAGCACCCGGACGGGTTCCTGCTGGCGCTCTGGAGGCCATAATGACTGATTTGGGAGAAGCACAGACTCAGGATGTATCTTAGAATTCAAGCGCCGAGATAAAGTGGTATAAGAATGAGGCAAGAGCGTTCTGAAAGATGGTTTGAGAGTTGATGAAGGCGGGATCGGGGTACCGGGGAGGTTTGATGGCGGGCTGCTGGTAAGGTAAGGTTACTACTGAAGTCTTGTCTGTAGCAGTCTGGGACAGAAGCAGATGACGAAGGGGGTCAGCCACAACTGGCTTTTCAGGGCCTAAGGCAACTGAATAACCTGCGGGGCGGTGTGGCGCTTCCAATAAGAACGTAATAACGTTAGTCCTACGTGCCTGTAGTAGTTACCTTGGTTGTAATAATAATACAACTTGCGACCTCTGGTTTCGCAGTACGGTGGTACGTGTAAGATACCTTACCTCTCTTGCGTCTTGCCTAGGTACCTCAGGTTTGAGGGTGGGCCTTATCATTTGGCATGGACGGAGCACACGGTACCTGACTTTATCAACCATAGTGCTATCTAGTACTCAACGATTGTTCCCTTTCTCGCTGGGAAAATCATCTCCAGCCTTCTTCTTTCAGTCTCTCCTTCTCCTGGTTGATTACTATTCTCCTTTCTAAGATACATACGCACTATGCGTTGATATTCATTTCATTCCCTTTTCCTAAACTCAAGCTATCGCAACCTTCTTTCCGATTAGTTTGACCGACCCATATCCTCTCAAGTCTAAACCCCCTCAACACTAGGAGACATCGACAATGGCTCCTTCTGTGCTACCCTTTCGCGACATCAACCTGCACGCCTCTCCCTCTCATTATGCGTTCACTTCTCCATCATCACCTAATGCTCAGACGCTCGTTGTCGACCGTCCAACCGGCGACCTGCGACTTGCGGATGGTACCCTGTCCGGCGCGAAACGCATATCTAGCATCGCTGGTATCTTGGGTATGATCAAGCTCAAACTGGGTAGGTTAAATGTCATCTACGTCCTATCTCAGTTTCTATGCTAACTGTCGCAGACAAATACATTATAGTCATAACAAAAGCCCAACCCATGGGTAGACTTCGCGGACACATGGTATACAAGGTCGCCGCCACTGAGTTCTTGCCCCTCCGCGAGCGTCCACTGCACGATCATGATGAAGACACCTACCTGGCACTGTTGAAAGAATTGCTCCGAACTGGACCGATGTATTTCTCCTACGCATTGGATCTTACCAACAGCTTCCAGCGTCAATCGCAAAGTGATCCCAGCCTTCCCCTGTGGAAGCGCGCTGACGATCGGTTTTTCTGGAATCGCTTCATTCAATCGGACTTGATAGATTTCAGTCTCGGGGCACATGATGCGACCGGTACGCGCTACGGCCCACAACCCGGAGCCGACCCCTTCATCCTCCCGGTCATATTTGGAATGCTCCGTATTACCCCGGCCAGGGTCAAATCAACATCATTTACTTTTGCCCTTATCACCAGGAGGTCTAGGCATCGTGGTGGGACCAGATACTTCTCGCGCGGCATAGACGAGCACGGCCATGTTTCGAACTATAATGAGACGGAACAGATCGTGATACTTAATGATGCGGCGGGAGGGCTCTCTGGTTTTGCGCCGGGACAGTCTATGACCAAGGATAAATCCGGTGGCTCGGGCCAGGATCTGCAGGTCATGTCCTTCGTCCAGACCCGAGGAAGTGTACCCGTATACTGGGCCGAAGTGAACAACCTCAAGTACATACCGAAACTTCAGGTTCGCGGAGTGGAGACAGCTGTTGATGCTGCACGCAAGCATTTCTCGGAGCAAATCAGAATTTACGGCGAGAATTACATGGTCAATCTTGTCAACCAAAAAGGCAGGGAGGAGCGTGTGAAGGAGGCCTATGAGCAGCTGGTACGCATATTGGTGTCTTCGTCGATTGAGGACACCGAGGCCGATGAAAACACTTCCGAGAAAGTCCATGTGGTAGAGCCCAGCCAGAGGCAAAAAGAACTGGACCGCCTGCATTACATTTACTTCGATTTCCACAATGAGACCAAAGGCCTGAGATGGCATCGTGCTGAGCTGCTTTTAGAACGTCTTGTCGATGGACTCTCACGAGGCGGGTACTTCCGTGGCGTTGAGGATCCCGGTGCCCCTGGCGGATTGTTAGAAATTCGGTCCCTTCAGTCAAGCGTCGTCCGGACCAATTGCATGGACTGCCTTGACCGGACGAATGTGGTGCAGAGTATGCTTGGGCGATGGGCTGTGTCGCGGCAGCTCATGGACGCAGGAGTCCTTCGTCCAGGCGAAGCAGCTAATGACGATCGGGAGTTTGAGAACCTGTTTCGTAACATTTGGGCTGATAATGCGGATGTTGTCTCGAAAGCCTATTCTGGCACAGGAGCCCTCAAGACGGACTTCACGCGCACCGGTCAAAGAACCCGGGCTGGAATGGTGCAGGATCTGTGTAATTCCATCACCCGCTATATCCGCAACAACTTCCTGGACGGCCCCAGACAAGATGGGTTTGATGTGTTCTTGGGCACCTATCTGCCTCCTGATTCTGCTCTTGGCAACATCCAGCTCTTCGTTGACCGCAGGCCGCTGATCATCCAGTCAATCCCTTACATCCTTGCTGCAGGCCTGTTCATGATCTTTGTTTCCATTTTCACGAGGCGGTTGCCGGACTCTGCCGTCTGGCCTATCCGCATATTCGTCTTTTTCTGGATGATTGTTTCGGCCTGGTGCGCACGCTTCATCTTCGCGCATGGCATGCTCTATGTAAGTTTGACCTTTACACCATCGCTGGGCATGGTCATTTGTCACTAACATTCTGGTCACGTAGGTCAACTGGCCAAAACTGAATACTCCTACGGCTGGATCCGAAGGCTATCAGGATGCACTCATCAAAGCACGTTCCGACCCAATCGTTGGACAATTCCTCCCTGCGAGAAGGCATCAAAGAGGTTACAGCAATGCTCGCCTGGTTTTCTTGGAAGAAGGTAAAACCAGGATTGAGTGATTCGTGCCCTGTTCTCTACAATCGTCGCCTTTTCCCTATTCGTTATATGTCTATGGCATATGCCCCTCTGTAGTTCTACGCTAGACAGCGGTTTGCGATTTTCTTCTGTTTCAAATATTTTATTACTTCAGGTTATTCTCATATCACCATTCGATTCATGGTTCAAAGCTTCTCCTCCAGCCAGATGTGTTTACATATGGGCTGCCTTGCGTGCATATTGCGTCCTAGTCTTGCCTTAGGGTACTTTCGGTGGCCCGCATGCTCTAAATATAATTAAATTGGACCTTCACTGCAGACTTATTCTTCGCCTATATTCGAAAAGTGTTGATTAGGATAGAATTGACTGACCCCACGTGATGCTGTTGATAAGGAAGTCCCGAAATAATCTCCGAGCGTCGGAGACCCGCGGTCTTACAGGTTACAAAAAAGATAAATCACATAATTTCCTCGTATCTCTCTACTTCGTGCTTCCCCCGCCTTCCAGGAGGGCTTTTTATATCCAGCTCTGATGCGAGACTTCTCATGTTCTCCTTCCCGTTTAGAAGTAATCAGCTGCGCTTTTTGTCCTGCTCATCATCCGCAATGGCTCGAAACTATGATGTAAGTAACGCTCTGGCGGTCATTGTGTCCATGACCCTGCACCATTGATCCAATAATGCTGATCTCAGGACTAGGCTGCCATCTCGGCGCTGAATTTGCTGCAGAGTAACTTCGCCGCCATTCAGCAGGTGAATAAAGACAGGAAGAACATGAATTTACGGTCCATTCCGGAGACCATCGAGTGGCTCCGACGCATCGGGTACAAGGTGCGTATTCATCCCATCTTTGATATTATTTTGGCAGAGCCTTGCTCACCTAAAACACGCATGGCCATGTACTGACGAAATGTCTATAAAAATGTGTAGTCTTCTGATTTGGACCGACTGAATCTCGTTCACATTGCGGGCACGAAAGGCAAAGGTTCAACTTCAGCTTTTGTGTCGTCTATTCTTTCCCAATATACTGTCTCGCAGTCACCCGAGTCGGAAAGCTCTTCCCCAAAAATCACCAAAGTTGGGTTGTATACCTCCCCTCACTTGCGATTTGCCCGCGAGCGCATCAAAATCGATAATGCCCCGCTTTCCGAGGAAAAGTTCGCTCAATACTTTTTCGAGGTATGGGACCGCTTGGAGGAGGCTGCTCGAGTGGCGGGGGAGAACCCTTCAGATCCACAGACGAAACCACAATACTTCCGTTATTTGACACTGATGGCTTTCCATACTTATATCAGTGAAGGTGTGGATGCCGCAGTGATCGAGTGCGGAATCGGTGGGGAGTACGACTGCACAAACGTGATTGATCGGCCTGTTGCAACTGCCATTACAAGCCTCGGGATCGATCATACCGCTTTGCTTGGGAACACAATAGAGGAGATAGCTTGGCACAAAGGTGGAATTATCAAGCCAGGCGTGAAGGTTTTCAGTTCACCCCAACCCCCCAGTGCGGAAGAAGTACTACACAAGCGTGCGCAGGAGAAGGGAACGCAGCTGCAGATTGTGTCGGGGCACCGTGAACTTCATAGCGGCAGTGAGCTCAAGCTTGGCCTTGCCGGCGACTTTCAATATACAAATGCATCGTTGGCTGTAGCTACTGCCGCCGAGTTCGTTGCAAAATTGGGACTTGAAGATATCCCTTCGGACTTTATGGAGAGGCCTCTACCAGCCAAGTTTCGCAAGGGATTGGAATCGGCTCGATTGGGCGGCCGATGCGAGACCAGAAGTGAGAAAGACATCACATGGTACATTGATGGCGGTCATACATTGGAGAGCATCAAACTGGCTGGCCAATGGTTCGCTTCCCAGATTCAGATTAATTCATCATCGAGCGCTGCAGCTGAGAAGAAGCTGAGGCTTTTGATCTTCAACCAACAAACTCGCGACAGTAATGCTCTTGCCCAAGCGCTCCATGAAACCCTCTCAAGTGCTCTAGGGTCGGAGAGCCCATTTACCCATGCGATTTTCTGCACCAACGTGACATACAAGGACGCCGGGTACCGGCCGGACCTCGTAAGCATGAACACTAACGCATCTGATGTGGAAAGGCTGCGGGTACAAAATGGCCTCGCTGAGAAATGGAATTCCATCGATCCCAAGGCGGAAGTTAAGGTCTTTGGCACTATCGAGGAGGCTGTTGACTTTGCTCGGGAGCTTGCGAGACAGGAGAGAGGCCATATAGGCCATGACGAGGCCCCTGTCATGACTTTTGTCACGGGCAGCTTACATCTGGTTGGAGGTTTTCTCGACGTTATCGAGACCAAACCTGGTCCACAATAAAGGCCACCGTCACGTCTCATTACATTACTCAGGATCCGCATCTTTTCTGCCTGTCAAAAGGTTTTCAACATCGCGAAGATACCCATATGAAATTTTTTTCTTTGGTCTCGTATAGGATCATACTCTTCTGGCCAGGAGGCGTTCGCCAGGTTTTCAACAAGACCTCTCCTTCTAAATCGTGCCCACAGTGGATAATTTGGTCCATTATTTGAAATGAACATGAATAATGCATAGCGATTTGCTACAATATGAACTTTTCCTCCTCTGTAGCCGAGTCAACTCGAGAAGGATTGACGCTCATGTCATACATTTCTTTCCCGAGGTCCATTCAAAGGATAAGCACATGGGAACTAAAGTAGATAGTAGGGGGCTGTAAGACCTATGAAATGAGGTAATATATGCCTTAAAGAGGATACGTATCACTTGATCCGAATTCATATTCGCTACCATTTGATTTTACCTCCGTGCTTGTAGTTAATCTATACGCGACTCGAACGATTATTGTGGCCCCCCGCGAAACGTCTCCCACTATCAGTATCTTAAGACTGTGACGTGGGGCCGTCGCTGAAAACCTTCCCGAAATCCATTATCTTTCGCGCCCTCGAATTCAACCACCCCCCTCCTCGCTCTCCACACTCCAGAGGTCATGTCCGACTCTAAGGATCGCAAGGGCAAGGCCCCCGAGGGCCAGTCTTCCGAAAAGAAAGACGGCGCGGTGAAAATAACCCCCCAGATGGCGGAGTCGCTGTTGGAAAACAACCCCGCTCTCAGGAACGAGATGGCCGGCATGGACAAAGAGAAGGCGGCGGAGGCGATGCGCAAAATGAACATTGCCGAACTGCTGACGGGTCTGTCGGTTTCCGGAAAGAACCAGAAGGATATGGCTTCGTACAAGTTTTGGCAGACGCAGCCTGTGCCCCGATTCGATGAGACGAGTACCGATACTGGGGGCCCCATCAAGATCATTGATCCTGAGAAGGTCTCGAAGGAACCGGATGCGCTGATTGAAGGGTTCGAATGGGCGACACTCGACCTGACGAACGAGACTGAGCTGCAGGAGCTGTGGGATTTGTTGACGTATCACTACGTGGAGGATGACAATGCCATGTTCCGGTTCAGATATTCGCAGTCGTTCCTACACTGGTGGGTGCACAACGTGGCGGAGGGATCGATTCCCACCGGCTTGGGAGGATGTGGATTATTGAGCGCTAACAATTTGACCTTAGGGCTCTTATGTCGCCTGGCTGGAAAAAGGAATGGCACGTCGGTGTCCGCGCTACGAAGTCGCGCAAACTGGTAGCGTCCATTTGCGGTGTCCCGACAGAGATCAGTGTGCGCAATCAAAAGCTCAAGGTCGTTGAGATTAATTTCCTCTGCATCCACAAGAAGCTCCGCTCGAAGCGCTTGACCCCTGTTCTCATCAAAGAAATTACCCGTCGTTGCTACCTCAATGGCATTTACCAAGCCATCTACACTGCGGGTGTGGTGCTCCCCACTCCTGTCAGCTCATGCCGCTACTACCACCGTCCTTTGGACTGGTTGAAGCTTTACGAAGTCGGCTTCTCTCCTCTCCCTGCCGGGTCCACCAAGGCGCGCCAGATCACCAAGAATCACCTTCCCAGCACTACCTCCACCCCCGGTCTTCGCCCCATGGAACCCAAAGACATCGACGCCGTGCATGATCTTTTGCAACGATACTTGTCGCGGTTTGCGCTGAACCAGGCCTTTACACGGGAGGAAGTGGACCATTGGCTCGTGCACAAGCCGGAGACAGTGAAAGAGCAGGTCGTCTGGGCATACGTGGCAGAGGACCCTGAAACGCACAAGATCACCGACTTCTTCTCTTTCTACAATCTCGAATCCACCGTCATTCAGAACCCCAAGCATGACAATGTGCGTGCTGCTTACCTGTACTACTATGCAACAGAGACAGCCTTCACCAATAACATGAAGGCTCTCAAAGAGCGTCTGCTGATGCTGATGAATGACGCTCTGATCCTGGCCAAGAAGGTAACTACAGGAATCCACTGCCATTTCTCTCAGTTTGACTTACGAAGCTGACATTATTTTGATAGGCGCACTTTGATGTGTTCAACGCACTCACACTTCACGATAACCCTCTGTTCCTCGAGCAACTCAAATTTGGAGCTGGCGATGGGCAGCTTCACTTCTACCTCTACAACTATCGCACCGCCCCTGTTCCTGGAGGAGTTAACGAGAAGAACCTGCCGGATGAGAAGAGAATGGGAGGCGTTGGCATTGTTATGCTGTAAAACCTTCTCACCGCATGGACCATGCCTCTTGTGCTCGTTGATGATCGCATCTTATACCTATTTCTCGCTGTGAGCTGAATTTGAGTGTGGTAAATATCATTAAAATTGCTTCTCACGATAACCCCATCTCCAATCATACCTGTGAGTAAAGTGATGTCTGGATGTAGATCTCTTTTCATGGCAACGATGATGCCTGGGGCAGCGGCCTGTCATGTAGTGGAGTGCCCCAGGCGCCAAGGCAACCCCATTATTATCGTTTCCGTGACGTCTGCATCACTTGGAAGGTCCAGACTCTCTGGTGCGTCCTTTGCATCAACACAGCATATCGTTCATCCAGCCGATTAGCCGGGTGGACTCTATCTGATTCTCCAGATATGGATAACTATGAATAATATTGTCTTGGCCATCGACTCTGCAGCCTGAAGCTGACTGTCATCGTAAACTCCCATTCCTCTTTAAGTACGGAGTACTCCACATTCCACCACGTCCAGCAGCCATTCTACCCTTTCTCGACTGGGCCGATGAGGTGTGCATCAATCAAGCGACTGTATGCACTGGAATCTGCATTGAAGGTTGCTACATTCTGTGATATATCCTTTGTTCTATTTACCTGCTCAAAATGGGTGTCGGCCAGTCGACTGAACTTCCGGGCCACGCAGGGACCCCAGGTTAGTCTTGACCATCATCGTATTCTGCCTTCCCCATTGCATCCACTTCTAGCAACGTACACTTCCTCGACACAATTGGCACCAGAAGAGAGGCAGATTTGAGCCAATCTAATGCAAAAACAGAACACTTAAGCCATGTGCTGGCTGAGCGGTTCGCGACCAAATGTTTCACTCCGCTGGAGCTCACCCACTTCAAAGATAACTTCTTTTCTCGCGCAATAGATCAAGGGGGCATGAAGTACTGGAACGAGAAGATCCTTTCGGATTTCCTCGGTATCCCTGACAGTAGCGATTCTCATTGTCCGCTTGATGCTGGACCGGTGATCTTCCGGATGGTTTCATACTTGGGCGCATTTCCCTTTCAGAATACATTGGCTCCGAGTGTTCTGACCTTCGAGGCAATGGTAAAGGTTGCAGTCTTGCTAACAGAACGGTATGGGAAAGTTCTACGACCAGCGCGCAAGGACCGCATCAAGCTTCTGTTCGGAAGTCTCGCTGACGTTGGGAGGCGTGATGTCGGCGCGTCTCCAGGCGCGGAGGATGTACGTAAGGAGACAGATGATTCTTCCGCTGTCAAATCGCATGTAACAGGTTTTGAGGTCGATGCGCCTGCCAACGATGACTACGGGGATGAGGATGAGGATGATGATGATCTCGCCCTGGCGGCCTTGGAATCGTTGGATGCTATTGACGTGTTCAAGCACGACTCTCGTATCGATAAGAAGGTTTATGAAGCTCGAATATCCGTCGCTACATTCCGTCGTCTTCTGATGCTCTTGATTGTCATTGCACCTTTGAAGACTTTGGAGCCTGTGACTTCGTATTCCTCAGACCTCAACGAGGCTCGAATGGAGAGCGTTCGAAAAGAGGCTGATACCATTTTGGCTGCCTTCAGTACTGAAGACTCCGATGGTGGTATCAGTTACCGATCATTTGCAAACATTACTTCAACCGCTTTACCATATCTCTTTGATCCCTTGACGCCCCTTTTCGAACATCTTCTGTTCAGCAAGAACCTGGACATGACCAAAAAGAGTGGATCTGACGCAATAGTAACAGACACAATTGAAAAGCCATCAGATAGTCCAGGACCCTCTCCATCGACAATTATGCTTCCCGGGAGTTTTGAATCGAGTATCCTCAAGCCGAGTGTTGTATCTCATCTTTCATTCTTCCTGCCTTCTCCTACCTCGAACGTGAATCTACTCCGGGGCAACATGCGCCTGCATCCTGTTTTCTCAACAGCTGTGCACGGTTCATCATTAACCTCTTTCTCTCACAACGTGCTCACATGGAACGCTGGCACACTACTCCTCCTCGAGGGTGCTGTCTCTGAACCATCCGAACATGGAGAGGGCATGGTTACGCTGGGAGCGTACCTTCCGCAGCCCTGGAAATCTGCACCATTGTCTCATTCTTCAACGAAGCCTTCTGACTCTTCAGCCTTGCCCTGTCTTTTTGAACTTTCGCCAAAGCACCAGCTTTTGCAAGGAAATCCTTCACCCTCCGTGCAGAAGCCCAACGCCCCCGTAGCATACTTCTCCACCAGTACGGGGATAGCGATTGGATGCCAGGTTCCACCTCCATCCCGAAGTCAACTCCTGACACCTACGCCTCTTGGAGCAGGCAGCTTGACCATTGACACGAGTCTCGACTCTGCAACCTTCTATATGTCGTCCATCGGTCATAATGGCGTTTTCCTCCCCCCAGCTACTACATCAATGTCGGAAGAAACAGTTAAAAAACAGATAGACATCTACACTCTGGAAATATGGGGATTGGTCCCCGAGCCGTCGGACGCATCCTCAGCAGAGCCGAGGCAGAGTGCAGTTGAGTTGCAGCGGGCGAAGTGGGAATTTGAAGCTCGTGAGGCTGAACGGAGACGAAACCTGAATCTGAAGGCCGGAGCCGGGGATTCTGCAATGGAGGGCGCGCGATGGCTTCTGGAGACTGCTGGGTTGATTGGTGATAGGCCTGGACAAAGGGGTGGAAGTATTTAATACGACTTCCCGGGCAATGATTTTTGTCGGCATGATCCATAGCGAGTCCTGGTTTGAATAGTCCACTTGAAGAGAGTTCCCATGCTATGGACAAAGCATTGATTCTGAGTTTCATGAATTCTGATGCTACAGAGGTACAGCAAACAGAATATATAATACATGATTTATGCGAGCTAAATACTCGCCATAAACCTCCTTTTCATACTCTAAGAGGCGTGAGACCAGTCGGGGGCCCATAGAAGTCCTTCAACTCCTCTTCTTCTTCCTCCTCGACAAGTCCATTGATGTTCTCGATTTCTGATTCCTCATCCGCAGCGTTACTCTTTAGGAACCGACTGCGCGCGCCTGAATTTGCGGCAGGAGCAGGAGTTCCGCTTTTTCTCGTGGCCTCGGGCTCGTGTTCATCCTTGTTCTCGCGCGGAAGACGTAAGGCCAGGAATCCCTCGGGGGCACGTTCTGCGCGGTCCATTACTTCATTCATGTACTTGCGCACCTCGTCTGGTGTCTTGACCACCCGTGCCAGAGGCTCTAGGAACTTCGGGTTGGCGCTGTAGATGCGAATCGTGACGGGCTGGTAGTACTCCTTAAGATTCGACTTGTCTGCATCTTCCTTCGACTCCTTGGATTTGTCGGAGTCTGGTTTGCTCGGAGTTTCCGCCTGAGCCTTCTGGCTGCCTTTATTGTCTGATCCTTTAGCCGAGTCAGTAGCGGCCGTAGCGGAATCCTGATTGCTAGAAGATTGAGTATTGTCCTTCTCCTTAGCGCCCTCATCGAACTTGTCATTCTCTTTCTTGTCTTTCTCTTTGCCCTCCCCACCTTCCGCTGCCTTGTCTTTGTTCTTGTCCGCTTTCTTCGACTTGGAGGTCGACTTGCCCTTGGCTCGGGATGTGGTCGTCACTGAAGCATCTTCTATGGGGAACGGTGTGTTGGGGTCCACCTTCCGAATGAGTAAGAAGGACGCTAGAACCGTGTTTCCTCCAGGAAGCCATTCCAAAATAGAGTACTCCGGAAACAAATACCGGTCTCCTGAGCCTGCATGACCTGAAGTGCTACTTCCGTAGGGAGTTAATGGTGAGGTAAACTCAAAGACAACCGACTTGTAGCCCACCCTAGGAGGAGGCAGGGGAGGAGCAGGACGATAGTAGGCCGGAGACCCGTGTTGCTGTGGACGTGACTGTATTGAAGGAGACTGGCCTTGGAATGGCGGATACTGGCCACCTGGACGCGGTGCTGGAGTGTGGTTCGGAGGAGGCTGGTTCATTGGCCGTACTGCAGGACTCGAATTTGGCTGGTGAGGAGTAGAAGCTGCGCCCGGAGGGGGCGGCGGGACTACCGCAATACTAGGACTAGATACTCCACCAGGGGGCGGTCGACTGGTCGCAGTCGTTCCCGGCTCCTGTTTGACCTGAGGAGTAGGATTAGAGTTCTGAGCAGTGGGTGTTTGAGGTTGCTTGGTCGGAGTTTGGCTGGAATTCTGTACTGCAGACTTCATCGCTGGAGAGGGCTTGGGAATTTGAACTTCCACTCTTGGCATCGGCTGCGGCTGCGGTTTAGCCTGTGATTGTGATTGCGGCCGATGTTGGGGGGTCGAGCCTGGCTGGGCCTGCGACGGGCCTTGCTTTTGACTCGGCTGCTCAGATTGCGATTGCTGGGAATTCTGCAGCGGTGAATGCTGAGGTTGTCGCTGTGGAACTCCCTGCTGTGCAGGTTGCGGCGTGTGGCGCGGTGTCTGCGATTGAGCACTGCCTGGAGCTTGCCCTTGTTGCTGTTGTTGCTGTCGCTGTTGCTGTTGCTCTCTCGCACGAATGATCGCATTCAGTTCATCAATATGAGCCTGAAACGCTCGAAGCTGTTCCTGAGACGCCTTGCTGCTAGCAACCACTCTCATCAGCGCCTTGAGATCGGGGTCTGAAGCAGCTCGCGTTGCAAGCATTTGAATGACCGGGTCCGGACTGGGCTTTGGAGGTTGAGGGGGCTGTGCATGTTGAGACGCAGGCGGGCGCTGGGCTGACTGAGGGGTATAGGGGGGACGAGGAGCATTGTGAGAAGGTGGATGAGTGGGTGTTCGCGCGGGATGTGGAGGCGGATGTTGGCTGCCCTGGGGGTAACCTGGTTGTGGCGAAGCCGAGTGGGCGGGGGAGTAATGAGCGGGCTGGCGCGACTGTTGAGATGGTGGTGGATGTGGATAGGAATGGTACTGCTGGAAGTTGGGATGGCCATAGTGAACCATCGGCCGCTGGGGGGGAGTGTATTGAATCGGTGGCGGAGCGTTAGGATCTTTGACGGTGTACAGCATAGCATCGAAAAGGTGAGGCCCAATCGCGATGTTGCAAGGTCCAACTTTCAGCATGGACTCCTTGGGGGGATTTTTGCCTTCAATCTGCTCTCTTTTGGACTTCTTGGGTTTGGTGTAGTATCGCTCTAGAATGCCGTCGCTGAGCCATTTCTTCTTCGATCGTTCCAGAGAGGCGAGAAGGACAGCACTGTAGGAGACAAAGAAACCGCGTCAGTTTAAGTCCGCACTCAAATAGATGCAACCACAATGCGAAGGCACTGCACTCGATGAAACCCGGAAGAACGCACCTCTCGGCGATTGACTGATACTCTTTGGATGAAAGGTCGGCGGGCTGCGGCGCGCACAGCGTTGGGAGAGCCTCTCCATCCTTGATCTTCGTCGGCAGGGGCTTCTCGATGACCTCTGGTTCAGGCGGAGGAGGTTGGGGCGTGGGAGCAACACTCGGTGTAGAACCTTTCTTCTTGGAAGAAGAGCCCTGTTGAGCCTGAGATTGAGGTGCGGCTTCAGATTGACGTCTTTTCGCGGAAGGCTCGCGACGGTCGCGGGTGGAGAGTTTGCGCTTCTCAGCCATGCTGAGCTATCACACACGGGGCAGTCGAGGAAGAACCTTGCTAGAGGAGATCAAAAGCATCTCCGACGGTTCTGTAAGTGACTGCAGGGGAGAGATGAAAGAAGCGAGCGAGGGTGAGTTGCGGAGAAGAAAGAAAAAGGAACGCAGAGAAACCACGAGCGATGAAATCACGCTGCTTTCTAAGATTACTGCAGTGCTGGGTGTCACTACTCCATCATTCTATGCTGCGCTCTTCCTCCCGTTGTACAGATGTTTCACAGTGACTTTTGGACATAAAAATGGTCATTTATCTATCCTGATAATTTTTGATAATATTTCTCCCCATCAAAGGCTTATCTTTCCGACTCTATCTGGTGGATCTCCGAGGTACGCTTCCTATCTTTTAGAGCATCGCTCGCATACTCCGTACTTTGCTCTCTTCTTTCGGAAGCTCATATTGAGAGATATGCTTGCGTGCTCATAGGATTTGGCTATCGGATCCCACTTCACAATGGTTGAGTTACAACCGATCTTCAAAAAGGCCTACTGGACGCTGGCCGCTGGAGGCCTGGTTTATGTGAGCTTCATCTGCGCGCTCACATGGCCCAATGTCCAAAGATTGTATGCTTTGCTTATCTATATTTCTACAAACGCGGCTAACGATTCTGGTGCCATGCGGATAGCGCCCTGTATGCGAACAAAGTCAACCCTGCTCTGTGGGAGGATGTGAACCAGGTCGAGCGCTTTGGGTTCCTGAGTACGTGGAAACGCCCCAGCTATCCATGAAGTGGTCGTTGTTGACTTGGCCAGAAACACAGGTCCAACCATTTAATCTGGTTACCCCCGATAATGAGACAATCTATGGCTGGCATTTACTCCCTCTACACCTCTGCCGTGAGCACGAAGAGGAACTGAACGCAAACGAGCCATCTGGTCCAGCTGAAGACTATACCCGAACCTCAGCTTTCAGATTTCTAGCCAACGACCCTAACGCTCGAGTAGTTGTCAACTGTAAGCGCACTGATTTCTTCGCCTTGCGACACAATCAAAAGATGCACACTAACTAATCTTTGTTCAACTGCAGTCCACGGCAATGCCGCGCATCTCGGCTCCGCTCAGAGACCTGAAATCTATCGCATGTTTCTGGGCTTGTCAACGCCCTCCAACCCCGTCCATGTCTTCGCAATTGACTATCGTGGGTTCGGAGTGTCCACCGGCTCCCCAACGGAAGAAGGCCTAATTACCGACGGTGTCTCCCTCATCAATTTCCTGAGCGCCGGTCCTTTGAACGTCCCGCCTTCCAGGATTGTCATTGCGGGACAGAGCCTGGGAACAGCTGTGAGCGCCGCAGTCGCTGAGCGCTATGCATTTGGATCGCCAGATCCCGCAGCTGTCCAACCCGCCATTAAAGACCCCGAACCGTTCGCAGGTGTGGTCCTCCTCGCATCATTCAGCAACCTGCGAAATCTTATCGAATCCTACAGCTTCAAAGGTCTTACGCCGCCGATGCTCTCTCCCTTGTTTGGGTACCCTCGCATACAAAGATGGGTGAGGAGCCATATCCTCGACCACTGGGACACGGCTGCTCGTCTTGCACGCCTGACAGGCGTCGGACCGTCAGCTGAGGAAGACGCGAAGGCAGGGTACAACAGCAAAGATCTGGATCTCGCAATCATTCATGCATTCAATGATGTCGAGATCCCCTGGTACGAAGGACGTAGTGTCTGGATTGCTGCCACAGGTGAAAACCAGAAAGACGCCCCCGGCACCCTTGCGTACCAGAAAAAGGAAGAGGGTGGTCCAACCGAGGTGAAGATCTGGGAGAACAGGTCCGGGAAGCACGCCGTGAAGAAGGTTCGATGGGAACGTGTAGGCTACGGTGGTATGTCGCAGATTCGTTTCGATGTTCTTATTCTACCGGGAGAGACTGAGCTGATACATTCTAGGTCATAACCGTGTGGCTACTTTCTCCGCTGCTGCTCTTGCTGTGCTCAGGGCATTCGAGGAGTAAAGGTACTCCTCGATATTCCCCTACGACTCCGGAAATAGCTTGACAGTCAGCTTCTGTAATCTGTCCCATTATATACCCACTCATCTACCGCCATCAGTAAGACCATGATACTTGTGGGAGGGGGGAGACGTTCAGTAATACATACAAGAACCCATAAGCTACTTATGATTAGGACTATCTTTTTTGCCGCTAAATTTCTACAATCTCAAAATCTTTAGGCCATTTTGACATTGTGAATACCGCGCCTACCCCTATACCTTTTTCATTCACTTCTTCCATGGCTCCCCCAGTTGTGGTAGCCTAGGAAGGTAGAGTTTACCTCTGGGACACAGCCATAGATAGATACATGCGTAGGAACTGATCTTCTTACTATTGTCATAAAGACTCCCACCTCCAAAGGTTGACTATCTCGCGACGTGGATTTCATCAACAGCCATTTCTCCAATTGAGGCAGCACGTCGCCCAGCTATCCAGTGGATGTTCTGGAGCCTGAGCCTAAATCGTTTGAGAGACGATATTCGTGGAAGAATGCAAATTATCTTAGAATTCACTTTTCCCAGCTGCTATAACAAGGTATATTGTCAAAAGCCAAAGAGAATCCCTCATAAGACCCACAGGGTTTGTCTATATTGCAAAGTAATACATGGCTCCAAATGCTTTGGGCACAAGGCGAAGAGGACATGAGATGAGAATACACGTGGAGAGAAGCAGATCGCTGTAGTAGTAGTAGAATGTCAAGATGCTCGAGGGGTATGTATGAGCTTCATCTTGAGCAGAAGAAGATTCGTAAAAGACTGTCCAGTCGGATATGTATGGAACGGCCAGGGCTGCAATCAAGACGACTGCGCAATGACAAGTGACGATGACCATAGCGTTTATTTCTTGTGCCTGTCAGCCTGGGCCTTCAGGTACTTCTGAATGAGTTCCTTTCTGTAAGAAGTTGTCAGTGATTGTTCAGAGCGGCACATTATCAATCAGGGGTGAGAAATTGCACATACTGTAATTGAGGTTGAGCCTTCTCGTAGTGGCTGAACTCCATGGTAAATTCACCCTTGCCCTGGGTGGCAGCACGCAGATGCGTACTGAAGCCGAACATTCCGTTCAAGCTGCAGTCCGCATACACAGTGAACTCATCCACACCGGTCTCGGTATCATTGATCGTAGCATTACGCTTGTTGAGGAGAGAGATAACGTCACCTTGGAACTCACCAGGAGCGGTGACAACAATCTTCATCATGGGCTCAAGGACAGAAGGGTTGCTTTCCATAAAGGCCTTCCGGAAAGCCTGCTGGGTGGCGTTCTTGAACGACATTTCGGACGAATCCGTCATGTGGGTAGCACCATCGTTGATCACCATCCTGGTACCAAGCACCTTGTGACCAATGAGCGGACCCTTTTCGCAAGCAAGATTGAAACCCTTCTCACAAGCGAAAAGGAACTTCTCGGAGATACTACCACCAACAATCTGTTCCTCAAATTTGTTGTCCTCAAGTTTGCCGGTGGGCTCCATCCAGCCGACGACGCGGGCATATTCACCAGGACCACCTGACTGTTTCTTGAGCAAGTGGTCGAACTCGACCCGGTTGCCGATGGTCTCGCGGTACGCGACCTGAGGCGGGCCAGTCACACAGTCGACGCGGTATTCGCGACGCATGCGCTCAATGTAGATGTCAAGATGCAATTCACCCATGCCAGAAATCAGAGTCTCCTCACTCTCTGCATTGTAGGACACCCGGAAGGTGGGATCCTCTCTCTGGAAACGAGCCATAGCCTTTGAGAAGTTGGCCGAGTCCTTGTTGTTCTTGGGCTTGATAGAAAGCGAGATGACAGGTTCGGGCACGAACATGGAAGTCATGGTGTAACCGAGCTGTCCATCGGTGAAAGTGTCGCCAGAGGCGCAATCCACACCGAACACGGCGCAAATTTCACCGGCTCCGATCTCCGATACCTCCTCCATCTCATTGGAGTGCATGCGAACAATGCGAGGAACCTTGACCTTCTTGTTGTTGCGAGCATTGAAGACGTTGGCGCCCTTGCGGAGGGTACCCTGGTACACGCGAATGTAGGTCAACTGCCCAAAGTTGCTCTCTTCCAGCTTGAAAGCAAGACCAACGAAAGGCTGGGAGTTGTAAGGGACAAGCTTGACCGAAGCCTCGTCGCGCTTCCGGTCAAGAGCGAGGTTTTCGACTTCCGATGGGTTGGGGAGGTAGTCGATGACACCATCAAGCATAGGCTGCACGGATTTGTTGGCCAGTGCAGAACCCATGAAGACGGGAGTGAACTTCAAGCCAATGGTTGCTCGGCGGATGGCGGCCTTGAGCTGCTGCTCCGTAGGCTCAGTCTCCTCCAGGAAGAGCTCAGCGATCTCGTCGTCGACATCGGCAAGCGTCTCGATGAGCATCCTCCTTCGTTCCTCCACGACTGACTTGACCTTCTCAGGAATCTCATCCTTAATCACGATATTCTCACCGCTCGGTCCTTCGTTGTAAAGAGACTTCATACGAATCAGGTCGACCACACCCTCGAACTCGTCTTCAGCACCAATTGGCACTTGAACGGCAGCAGCAGGGATCTTGAGCTTGGTGTTGATCTGTTCAACAGCCTTGAAAGGATTGGCACCCATACGGTCCATTTTGTTGACGAAGGAAATTCGAGGAACGTTGTAGCGGCGCATCTGGCGGTCGACCGTGATAGTCTGGGACTGGACACCTGACACAGCACACAGGATCATGACAGCACCATCAAGAACGCGCAGCGCTCTCTCCACTTCGATGGTGAAGTCGATGTGCCCTGGTGTATCGATCAGGTTGATGTGGTATTTCTCTTCTTTCCCATCGTCTCCCTTCTTTACCCAGTCACAGAACGTCGCTGCGGACTGGATAGTGATACCCTTTTCACGCTCGAGATCCATCGAGTCCATCTTGGCACCAACATTATCACGACCGCGAACTTCGTGGATGGCCTTGATACGACCAGTGTAGAAGAGGACTCGCTCGGTACAGGTGGTTTT